GAATCTCATCAGCATGTCTTCTTGCTTGCTCATAACATTTCTCATGCTCATTCTCGACCTCATGATCAGAAAACACATTACTTTCTCAATGTGCTTTACGATCGCCATGATCATTCACGTGACATTCTTAGGAACATTCTTTTGGACCAATGTAATGGCGTTCGATATCTGGAGATCGCTTGCCAATATTCGGTCTAAAAGTGAAGTGAAGAGCAACTCGAAGAAATATTTGAAGTATTCGGCGTACTCTTGGACTGCTACTGTCCTAGTAGCCTTACCGGCAGCTATTTTAGAATTAACTGAATGGGTTCCACTGAAGTTCCGACCGCAATTCGGAGTAAAACGTTGTTGGCTAAGTGGAAAAACTGCTTTCACTTATTATTTTAACTTACCGGTTGGAGTCATTCTATTCTGCAATCTCGTTTTGTTCTTGATGACGATGAGAAAGCTGATAATCGTAAAGAAGATGACAGCAATATTACAAGTAAAGCAACAACAAAAAAGGTGCGCATAAAGTTATAATTATTTTTAGTTGGTTTGAAGTAGATGTGATAAGTCTGTTCTTAAGTAGCATTTTAAATAAATGAATGGGATGTTTTTATCACCTAAAAACGTAATCAAAAATGCAATTTTAAAAAGACATTCGATTTCTAAGAAACAAATGCAAGTCATTGGATTTGAATTCGAAAAGTATTACTTTTTATAATGTTTGATTTTTTTCTAAATATTAAAAAATTAAGTCGTAAAGGAAAAAATGTAAAGATGCTGCTCCTATAGCACATTAATCAATGCTGATTATTGCCATAGGCGCTCTGGTAGCTCAGTAGGTTAACGCGTTGCTCACAATGCTGATGGAGATCTGTGGGCTGTGAGTTCTATCCTAGAAATCGACAAAGTGAGTTCTATCTAGAAAACAGCAAAGTGTTGCCAAGTTCTATTAGTACTATTTTTTTCATTAGTCTATGGTGGATCAGGAGATAGAGCGTGTGCCTTCCAATGAGGATAACCGGGTTCGAATCCCTGCAGTGGCTAGTCGATAAGAATTCCGCACGAGGCTCGCACCGACCACAGTGCTGACGTAAAATATCCTCAGTGGCAGACGGATCTTGGGTTAGAGTCACCTTGCAGTCAGGCTAACCGTAAGAGTTCTTCGTGATTTTTCCTCTCCATGTAGCGCAAATGCGGGCTAGTTTCATCAAAAAGTCCTCCACGAAGACAAATTTCTCCCAATTAATGATCCAAGAGTTCTCTTGTATTCTGGAGAGGGTTTAAAATTACAAGGCTACTGAGTCGAACATTAAGTTATAAACCCTAAATTGGGTCGGCTGTACAACAACGATTATAAAATAAAATAAAATCAGCAAGGTGGACTTTTAATTTGTTGTAACTGAAATTCCTTTCACTGGTTTTGGTGCTTAAATTTGTAAAGAGAGGGATACCAGTTCAGGTATTGTCCATGCTGTCTGTCACCATGTCGGGGTAAAAAAACTGTACGGTATTCGTAACCTGGCTGTAACTAAAAGTCAGAATCCAGCCTGAAATGGGCTAGGTGCTTGGCCATGGTTGCGTGATGTATACTGATTTCTGTATTACACATACAAAATAAAACTTTTACTAGATGAAAGTAACTGTTCTCATCTAAAAGTTTTGAAAACCTCATACTCGTATTTAAAGAAATAACAAGAGAGCTATTCGCAACTTTTTCAGGTTGTAAGAGAAAAATCCTTTATGTTTTCCATAAAATTTTTCATTCGTATATGATCGACAGAATCTTTAAAAGGCCTTTTTGCTTCCATCCCAGCCGGCTTAAGACTCCCCCTGTAGTAAATGGTGACTGGCGAAAGTTAAATGTATCGGGTCACAAAGTCCTCCATGTTCCCATAACAAACCAATAACTCTGCGGGTACTGCATTGGAGATTGCTCGTTCTCTGGTTCAGGACAAAATTGATCTGTGGATGAATGAACGGATGTATGTATAGGTCCTCCCTATAAACTGGCTGCGGTGTATGTGCGTAACTGAAGTCGAATTCCTGGCCATAGATGGCGCCACTGAAAAATAGGAACAATAGCACCCCCACTGCCTAAACAGGCATACGACAAAAAAAATGACTAAAGATGAATTTAATTGTCTTTGAATGCTAAACTTATTGACGAATATAGAAATTTTGCCAATAAATTCATCAATAAACGAAAATCCCATGAAAATGTATGCTTAAGTACCACGAGTGCACTGCAAGAAATTTTTCTAAAAAAATGGTTAATAACAATTTATTTAATTTCTGTTTTACCATATTCTAACAAAATAGTCAAATAACCATAAATAAGATGGTATTCAAACTGTTAACTGTGGAAAAAAAAAAGCTTATTAACTTCTTTCACCTAGTACGGTTAAATAATTAGAATTTTATCGTAACAACTAAGCCCGCCTGAACAATGCAAATTAGTTCCTAGCAGATGTGTACCCATTGTAGCCGAGAGGGCTAATCCGTCAATTTCGTCGCCAACAGAACGGTGGTTCAAGTACCAGCGTTGACACTGATATAGTTTCCCTTTCCATTCAACGCATGAAAACTATGCAGTGTCCTGCAATCCCCAATTTGTGATTCTGGATTATTGGAATACAATATTCTCATTCACAGATAGATGGCAGCAGCATGAAGCTGCTTTTTACTATCTCCACTATCCAGTTAGATTTCTTTTTTACGATTTCGGAACCATGACAGTTGCAAATGGATAAAAAACCGTTTAGTATTTTATTCGTGGTCTTTTAACCATATTAGTTGTAAACGGTTTCAATGTTCTTTACCTCAAACTTTACGGTATCAGACTGCTGCCGGTTATTTTACCATAATTTAAGAATGAAAATTCTTTTTTTCGTTTTTTTTTTAATTTTTTTTTAATGGCGGGCACTTGGGGTTTGTCCCATTGGCCACAGAAATGCCAGAACTGCTACTCTCTTCTCGCTACCCAGTGGGCACCTACGGCGAAGCCAAGGCGGTGGAGCAGCGTCACCCACGTCACACTACCACAAACCCGTTTATAGGGCGGGTCACATTCACACAAAGAGGAAAGGACGTAGAACAGAGAGAGAGAAAGAAACATCCATGCCCTGAGCAGGATTCGAACCCGCGGCCAATGGCTCCGCAGTCAGACACGCTAACCACTCGGCCACCTGGTTGGCTAGAATGAATGAAAATTCTAACAGCGTGTGTTTTGAAGGGCGAAAAAGAATCCTTTTATTTAAATTCTAATCATACGAAGAAAAAATTTTGAGCAATATTCCATCAAATTTTTATTTTGAAATTTTCAAAATCCATACTGAGAGACCAAGTATGGTCAAACCTACCAAAATATTGTCAAATTTACAGTGTTTTGGGGCCTGTGGGAACACAAAAAGGCTCGGTGAAATTTACCGAAGCGCTTTGGTAATGATTTTGATAAAATAAAGAATAAAATTTGCTTATAATATGAGATAAAATGTAATAAATGAGGTATATTAAGGTATTTCTATGATACTTTTGATTATGTCATAAAAAAAAATTTTCATTCGGTTAAATTTACTTTTCAACTTTTGTATTTTTTTTTCTAACAGTGTGGCAATAAGAACTATAATTTTGAAAACCAGAATTTCCAACTACCCGCTACGATATTAGTGAAAAAAATTACGAAATGAATGGTTTAAATACCCATATATTTTGGTTTTATTTACCAGAATTATGGTTTTGTTTTTACCAGAAATATTATTGCCTTTCTCTGAATAAACTTGCCCATTTTTCGAAGGATTCAGATTTTTGACCCCCAAAATATAGGGGGTAGTCGGAATTTAAAAAAGATAGTCTTTATAGTTAGGTCAGGAGAGCGATCCTAAGTTTGGACCCATTTATGCTAATTTTATTTTCCGCGCATCGTTGAAGCGAATTGTTGAAGCGAACTGAAAGTTTTTTTCACCCAATTATACAGGGTTATTCATAATTCCTTCCGCCTGTAAACGCCCTTTTTCTTTACTACAACTGCCTTCAGTGGTACATGTTACTGCCATCTACCGGCAACTGCTTAAATTAAAACTTGAATACTTTCGGAATAAATTCATATGTTCTTTTTTGCAATATTCGTCTTCGTTTCTTTACTGCAACGCTTCGAAACACCGGAGGAAATTATGAATAACCCTGTATAACTCGTTTATCCGAAGATAATTCCATGCAAAACATGAATTTTAGTAAATATTTATTATTTTTTATTATTTTATTTAATAATCATCGAAAAAATTTTGAATTGTAAGGTATACAATTTTTAACATCATCTTAAAGTATCTAATTTTGAAAGTCAAAAATACAAAGTTTAAGCGAAATCGGTAGAATAGTTTCAAACAAATCGAATTTTAAATTGCCGACTTTTTTAAAATTCGATTTCTCAGGAACTATTCAACCAATTTCGCTGCCGTAATTGAAATTCCTCTTTTTTTTCAGACCGAGGAAGCAGCACCAAACTGACCGAAGAGGAAGTCATAGCTAATTGCTATATGATAACCCTTATGGCTTATGAAACAACTTCTGCAGCATTAACATACATATTCTATTTATTAATCAAGCATCACGACATTCAAGATCGTCTCTGTAAAGAAATAGATGCAGCTCCCGATGAATTTACTTTTCAAGAACTGCAAAGTGAGTACACTCCATTTCGTTATTATTTTAGACAACATATAGTCTCTGACCAAATTATTAGACTCATTATAAGATTCTATGTAAAATCTTAATTATCCGGTGACGCTATTATCCGGCGATGTCTTAGCGCAACTGAAACCGGTTTGCACTTTTTTACGTTCGTATATCAAATGGTTAAATTAGACGATATATTATATAAACATATAATATGTATTATATCAGATATTATTTTAGTATATTATAATAATTAGACCAAATTATTAAGCGCATTGTAGTTTTTTAATAATTGCATGTTTTTCACGAGTTTATAGGCAATACTTTTCCATTTAAACATACATGTAATGGGTTTTTATTCGGGAGATTTTTTATATATTTCCCATTTGTATTTATATTTAACGTATTATATTACAATGTTAGCCAATTGACACACGAACGTAGACAAGTGCAAACCGGTTTCAGTCGCGTTAAAGCAATAAAGCTGTATAGTATCGCCTGATAACTAAGATTTTTCACAGAATCGTATAGTGTATCGAATAATTTGGCCAGGTACTGTACATAAAAATAAATTTATTCATATTTATAAAAAAAATCCACTAAAAAATTGCAACTTGTAATTGTTTCTGACGAAGAATGGTCTTGCATAACTTCTGTTTCTATCCTTATTCTGTTTATTATCTGTATAAAATTATCTAAATACTGTTTCTAGTTTTTGTATTGCTCATTGTATATATTGTATTGTATAACTGTTTCTAATTATTGTATTGTTAGTAAAGCAATAACTTTGTCTGGTGACCCATAGTTGATAGAGGTAACTGAAAACTAAATGTGTGTTAAATGTGTAAGATTATTCACTGATTCTATTAAAATGTAAATTTTGTAGTTCTTATAAGTTTAAAAAGGCCACGATAGCCTGGTTGGTAGGACGTTGGGCTCGTGTTCGTAAGAACGGGAGTTTGAATACCACCAGCCATTATTAAATCGTGAGTGGTGCACGTTAAAACTGTTGGGGTCGCAAAGTCCTCTAAGTTCCTGTAACAAATCATACCACTGGGGGAGCCGTGGTGGCTCAAGGAAGAGCGTTCGCCTTTCAGTGAGGTGAACCGGGCTCGTATCCCAGTGATGCCTGGTTTATCCAAATTCCGCACCTGGCTCGCACCGACTACAGTTCTGACGTAAAATACCTTCAGTGGTAGACGGATTTATATTGTCAATGCTAACTGTGGGATGTTTTTGTGGTTTGCCTCTCCAAGTAAAGCAAATGTGGGTTAATTCCATTAAGAAGTTCTTCAAAGACAAATTGCTCCCGATACTTGATCCAGGAGTTCCTTTGTTTTCTGGATTGGGTTCAAAAATACAAGGCTACTGAGATGAACACTAGTAGTCGTAAATCCAAATTTGGGTCTGTTGTTCAACGACGGTTATAAAATGAAATACCTCCGAGGGTACTGAATTGGAGAGTGATCGTTCGCTTGTTCAAGTCAACATTCTGATCTGTGGATGAATGAATAGATCCACCTGTGAAACGGGCTGTGACGTGTGTGTGGCTAAAATCGTATTCGTGATCATAGCTAAGCTGTTAAAAATCCCTGTCCTTCGTTAGCTGTTTATTAGCCAACTAACAAGGTACTATTCACGTATTTAACTACTTAGACAGTTCCATTCAGTCAACTATCTGAATAGTTGAAATGCTAGATAATAATGACAGCGAGATAGTAATCGAGATACTAATAGTTAAAATGTGAGATAAATTCATTTTAAAGCTCCTCCAACAGTTGGCGAAGAAAAATTAAGGAAAGGAAGGTAATTTTGAAATGTAACTTTTTCAGATACATTAGAGAAAGTTAAAAACTTTATTTTCTTATCTCACTCTGATTATTAGATGAAGATCTAAATTAAAAACAATTTTATATATATTACATATCTAAAATTTGTATAATTTTCCTTGGGAGATAACAAGTTATAAATATCCAACCTAAGAAGCTAAACATAGATCAGTTGACTTTCTAAACATTTTCTAGTTGCTAATTGCAATCATACATTTTCCCATTCCATCTTTTTCCTATTGCAATCCCTCGATCAATTAGTTGCTTCCAACTCTTGAAGAAGAAATCAGCTGAAATCGCATGCTTATGGCTAATCACGTGGATCCAATTGATATGCGAATCAAAGTAAAGGTATCTACTAGAAACTTCAGCTCGAACATCTCTGTATAACTATAAAAACATCTGCAAATAAAATCCGTATTCTTCTTAGAACTGGTATTAATTAATTTTGTTTCATTTTCGCAGGTTTTCCTTACTTGGATCAAGTTTACAAAGAGTCTTTAAGACTTTATCCACCAGTGACAGGATTTGTTTCCAGAATATGCCAGAAAGATCACAAAGTTGGTTCCTTCGTTTTTCCTAAGGGTGCAGCAGTACAAATTCCAGTTTGGAACTTGCACCACGATCCAGAATTATGGCCTGATCCATGCAAGTTCGATCCAGAAAGGTTTTCGCCAAGCAAAAGAGGGTCCATTAAGCCCATGTCTTACATGCCTTTCGGTGAAGGTCCAAGAAACTGTATTGGCATGTACTACGCTGAGTTGCAGGTCAAATTGACTGTATTTAGGTTGTTCGAAACTTTCAGGTTTGAACCGTGTGAAAAGACTGAAGATCCTATTTCGTTAGTGACTCATACTTTGTATACTAATCCAGCTAATGGTCTGTGGGTTCGAGCCATACGCAGGAAATTTCCAAAACTAATTGGTTGATGAAAAAGCTTATAGGTTTAAACAAATGATTAGTTTTCCACTATGCTATTACATTATTTAAATAAAAATACTGGTTGTTATTGAGCAGAGCTTTAAACATGTATCTTTTTTTTTCAACTATCAATAAATTACTTTTTGAAGGAAATGGCAACTTGCACCTCATTATATCTATATATTTATTAAGGTATATGAATGATTTTACAGAATTATAGAATATTTGTGATCCGAGAAAACATTTTTCTTGTGGTTTTTAAAGATATTATTTTATATACTCTTGTAAACCCTTTGACACTGTATTTCTGAACTTAAATTGAACCAAAATATTCTTTTTCCTTCATAATTAAGGAAACAATTTTCTTTGAAATATCATTTACATGTCCTGTATTATTATGTGTGTTTCAGAGGATTGGTAACAAGAACTAAAACTGATTTTTCTGTCCAATCTTTTCTTGACAAGCATGAAGAACATCAGTAAAATATTAAGCAGAGAGCATCAGTAATAATATTATCTCAAATAGGAAATACTATTTTGTCCCATTTATTTCCTGTGGTCCACGTAGTTGGAAAGTAAAACACGTATTTTGCGTGAAAAACGTTAAAAAAGTCAAATATAAAAATACGTTTCATTAGTTTTTAAAAAAGGCAATATTGTTAGACCAAAAAAACTTGGTAAGTCCAAAAAATTATGCTAATTTAAAAGCATGTACAACGCCGGATAAAAATAGTGCACAGTAAAAAAAAATTCTGGATTCAATTACGGTAAAAAATACCAATTTTGCTGCATTTTTTACTTAAAGTCCATTTTTACCGGAACATGTGAGGGAACAAAAAATCTGATCTACCGAAATTTGTACAATAAACTTTACAGTAAAATCATTAAACCACTCAAACTAAATACATATTACGATAAAATTTACGGTATAATATTTTACGGTGAAATGGATTTTACGGATGAAGTAAAGTATGGACACTTATTGAATTTTTCTACTTTCCTTTGTAATGTGTAATTCAGTTGAAACATGCCTTATAATAAAATGAGATCGTTAGTTCACTTTCAAAATTAGCAATATACATGAGGAAAAACTTAATATTATATATTTTTTTAAGGAAACTATAAGGGTCCTAAACATGATCATACATAATAGCTTAATAGAATTTCATGGATTTTAAAACTAAATCTAAAAAGAAATATATTTTAATTCCAGACTAGTCCTTCTAACAGATGAGAACTTTAAATAATCTCTTTCACATAATTAACTTAGCTCTTCACGTATATATTAACTTTCATTGAATAGCGATGTAATCTTTATTAAAAAAATGAGTCCATACTGCGCAGTAAAATATCCTTATGTCGCTAAAAATCATTCAAATTAATACATATTTTGAGATATTGATTCATCTTCATCCGGTCGTATGATTACATCTTACGGTGTCAATTCTAATAAAGAAGTCTGGATATTATAGATCACATGACATGAAAGGATAACTGTACCATACATGTGAAAAAAGCGCACACTTGTCTTTTGGTTGTTGTTGTTAATTTACTACTAGACTGTTACTTTACTGTTGTTGCACTAGAGCTGTACAATGGGCTATTGGCGACGGTCTGGGAAACATCCCGGAGGATGATCCGAAGACGTGCCATCACAATTTTGATCCTCTGCGGAGGGGATACTTGTCTTTTGGAAATGGTACAGTAAATTTACATCCAGGAGCTCTGCTCCATGTATATAATTTGTAAATAGATTTTTTTTTTAAACTACTTTCCTTTAAATGCATGTTTATCAGCAACTTAAAAGTAAATACTTTGCGAAAATAAATTTTTTTTAAATGCAGAATCTCTTTATCGTAAAAGGAGAGCATCGATTTGTTTGAAAATACCGTATGTAACAATAATTATTAATAAAAAATTTGAAAATAAAAGCTGAATATTCTAAAACAAGCTGAGTTCAGAACAGAAACATCACTGAAGCACTGAAACATCAAATATCCATAAATATGTTAAGAAATATTTACAGGAAATTTTAAGAAAAAAGTTGCACAGTCCAAACCGTATTCACTAATTATTTGTTACTGGAGACTACTCACTTTGTGAATTTGTTAGAAATTTTTGGATTGCTAAATGCAATTAAAAGCCATGTTTTATATTAATAAAAAATTGTCAGTTTTGAAAATAATGACATACTTCAAGTAAATATTAAATTACATAAAATTTGGAAAAATTTAAGATAATAACCTTATCTTTCTGGAATTGTTTATATTTATTTATTTCAAAATACTTAAATTTCTCAAAGTAGCATGAGGTTGAACATTTTTCGAAAGTTTTACACATTATTATAGGGATCTTTTGGCTGGAAACTTGTCCCTTTTTCATGCATTTAAAAAAAATATATTATTTAGTCTAAAACAAGAAATTTTTAGTGGTGCACATACAATTCTGATGATTTTTATAATTTTTATGAAGACAACTGAAGGTACCTGGTTTGTCATTTTAGAAAACTGGATCATGCCATGTGATTAATTCGTCCAATAATATTGCACGTAGGATTATAATTTTAAATCTGGCTTTTATGTGCATATCATATGACAAATGAAATGACAGCTCTTTACATTTGACGATGTACCAGGCTAATTGGAAAAGTCATTAGTCGGCTTGACAATTTTCAGGCTAATTATATAATCCTTTATTTAAAAAATGTAAATACATACGAAGATTTACCTAATCACCTTGAATTGGCTCAGCTAAATTGCATTGTGTATTGCATTATGCTAGCTCATTGCATAGAGAAGACTAATAGATCAACGCATGATACATTATTTATTTGGCTGAAAGTAATATGTATTAATTGAAACAAGCCGTAAATGTGTAATGCTGATAAGAAAATACAGTAGACTTTTTCTTTTAACCTGCTGGCGCGTAACAAAATGTTTTCTAAGTGTTAGATATTTCAATTAGCCTACGGCACATAGATTAGATAAATCAAAACTGTGTATTCACGCACTAATAATTACAATATGCAAATCATTTAACGTTTCTCAAACCATTTGAAATTACAATAGAAACTCTATTTTTGTTAAGTAGATGATAAGATATTTTCACGATTATATATTTAAGGAACGCATCTGATAAACATATTCTTGATTATCAAGGCGAACTATAATCTTTGAGAGAGAGACAGACAGAAAATCAGATAGGCATAACTGAATGAATTTAAATACATTTAAATAGCAAACTTACTAAGAATGATTTTTCTATGCTCTTGAACTTTAGATGAAATAAGATATGTTTGAAAATGTATAAATAAAAAAATAAATAAACTTTTATTTCTTAACAATCATCACTAGATAGAGCGGCTAGTGTAAAACGAACGGTTAGCGGTACATCTTGATTTCCTTGGCGACCGCTATTTTAATCGACACCAAGAATAACGCCAAGCTGGATTAATTCGCATTTAGTTTGTGGCTTCCATATCTGGCAGTTTATTGCGGTCACCGTGGAAATCCAGACATATTTTTATTTCAAAAATCGCTTTTTACTTCAAAACACTAGAGTAGCATTTCCTTTCTTTGATTTAAAAATTGATAAAAGAAATAAAACATACAACTTTTTCAAAAAATACAACGAAAAATACCTCATCCCTATTTTTTGGTGAAAAAATACTACAGTAGTACTGAAAATATTACGTACGGCAACCTTGAGGTCTACCGGTTTTTCTCTTTAAAAAAATGATCAGGAAATGATAGTGGTATTTGATTAGATAATTTTCTAGTTAAATTAGAATGTATTTTGAGTCTTCCTCAGAGGTAAAAAAGGCGATTTTTTAAGATCGTGTTCGCATAGTTAAATGAAAAATGGTGGAGGTTACAATCACGCTTTTATTAATCATTCTTAGCTCCATATGCCTGATTATTGTAAGGTGGATGGTCAAAAGATATCGCAGCCACCAAATTTTAAAGCGATACGGAATTCCGGGACCCAAGCCAAATTTCTTCGATGGTCATTTGTTCGAATTAAGAAAAGATGATACTCCACAAAAACTTATAGACTCATGGTTAAAGAAATATGGTAATATATTTGGATACTACACTGGAGAAGTCCCATACATAGTTGTAAATGATCTGGAAATTATCAAAAAAGTAAGTTTTTATCTTTTTTTTTAAAAAACGAAACATTTTTTATGATTTTTTCTTACTGATTGCTTGAAGGGAAATAAAATTTTTAATTTCAAAAGTCACTTCTTTTATATAATGCATATTCCATTATTTTTCTAAAATCTAATCTTAAATCTATGTAATTCAAGAAAAAAAACATTGCATTTATTATATTGATTACATTGGGAAACAAACTTTTCATTGCATTTATACAAATATTTGATCTTGCTTTATTCGGGTGTGGGAATTTTAAATCTGAAACTCAAATCAAACTGTACAATTCAAATAAAATGTAAATCAAAATGTACAATTTGAAAAAATGTTATATATGACAGGGCGTTTAATAAATAGTTCGACAAACTTCCAGAAGAGTTAGGGCGCATTTCTTGTGGCTCTGCCCTATTCTGAGCTATTTAGAAACACGTGAGGACTCAGAGAGAAACACCCCTAGCGGCGTATGATGACATTTCCTGGCATGGTTCATATGCAATTTTAATCCTGATGACGTGTCTGAACTCTCGTAGAAGTTTGTCGCAACATTTATGCGACTGCTTGTTTATGCAAAGGTTTTAAAATTGTTCAAAGCTCAAAAATAAAAAAACGTATCACCCTGAATAACTTTTGATATAATGATCGGATCTCCACTTTCTAGGACTCACTCAATCTCAATAGTTCGAGGGAGTGACCTCAAATATGCTAATTAATTAGGGAAGACGAAATTTTAAGTAACGAAATCAGACACAATAACGTTCTTTCTCTAAATAAACATACCTTTCTCTCGATTAATTCGGATTTCTGACCCTTAAAATATAGGAGGCAGCCGAAATCTGGAAAATATGGTTTCTATAGTTTACACAGGAGATCGGTTCAAAGTGTGGAACAATTAGTATTAATTTTACTTTTTGAGCATTATGCCAGATCTCCGGAACTTTCTAAGCAATTCAAAGTCTCTTGGCACACAATTATAAAATTCGTTTGTCCATAGATAATTTCTCAAGATTTCAAATTTTAAATATATGCCTTTTTTAAAGTTTAATAGCTTGGAAATTACTTGACTTCTTTCGCTCAAATTTTGCAGTTTGCCAAAATTACTTCCTTTAAATTGATGTAGAATTTTTAAACGAATTAAAGCATTTTTTTGCACACAATTATAAAATTAGTTTATCTAAAGCTAATTCCACGCAAAGAGTAGTTTTTAGTAAATATTTATTATTCTTTATTATTTTATCTATTAATAGTCAAAAGAATTTTTTAATTGTAATGTATCAAATTTTTAGCTTCATTTTAAAGAATCTAGTTTTATGTGGTAGAATACAAAATTTGAGTAAAATCGATCGCATAGCTAATGAGAAATAGCATTTTAAAAATACTTCTTTTAAAATCAGGAAGCCTTTTCTCTTTTTTTAATTAAAAAAGAGACACTAACAATTTCATCGGTTCAGAAGATTTTTTTACATGATGGCATTCTTTAGGTAATGGTATTAATTCAAACTACTTTACTTCCTTATTTCGTAATAATTCACATTTCTCAACCGAAATTCAAGCTTACCTTTTCCTACAACAGATACAATACATTTCTTCACAAAAACTAGTGGATTCTGGCGCTAGTTAAATTAATAGAGGAACCATTAGCATGCAGGTCTGATTAAGAGAATTCATTCTTGTATTACACATGGAGAAATTCGCATTCCAAGAAAATTTTCTCAAAGAATGTTTTGCTCGGGAAGTATTTTGTTTACTTTTTTTATATAACTTACCATTTGTAATTTTTATTTACATAAAAGCTGAAACGTTTTTAATGATATAAAACCAAATAATGTTGTTGATGTTTCTAATGCCACTTGCCAATACCAGTAAGCTTGCTTGATGAAACCAAGCGAAAAAGCAAATTGTGAATTTTTTTGTTTTTCAGTGGCACCATCCGTGGCCAAGAATACGTTTTCAGATGTACACACATACATCACCGCCCGTTTTACAGAGCGGATCCATTCATGCATCCATTCATTCATCTACAGATGGAAAATTTTGACTTGAACGCTGCAGAGAACGATTAATCTCCAATTTAGTACCCCCAGAGGTATTGATTTGTTATGGAAACATGGAGGACTTTGCATGAAACACTTGTGATATTTTTCGACACATTTAACGTGCAACAATCACCAATTACTACACGGGAAGTCTTCGGCTGGCGGGGATTGAACCTATGACTTCTTGGACATTAGCCGAATGCCCTACCAACCGGGCTATCCCAGCCCTCCAAGCAATGTAACTACATAAAACAGACATAAAGGATGATGGATAAATTTCTGTTTGACTTACTTTGACTTAATTCTTCTTACCCTCAACATGAGGCCATGAGCAAGGCATGCCATCTTTCTGTTTAGTGCTGCTTCCTGGGCACTCTTTCAGTTCAACTATCCGAATAAATTTATTTCTTTTAGGATCATGTAGCTTTAGGTTAGTTAGACCGACCTCTCTTCCTCTTACCATCCGGAGCCCAGATTAGAGCTATTTGTGTTGGATCTGATGGCGTCATTCTAAGAATATGTTAAACCCATGTCTATCTTAGTTTTTTAAACTATTGCTGTTGTGGGTTTACTGTTGGTTCGTTTATGCAACTCAGAGTAAGATATTTTATTTAGCCAGTTACTTTCTAGATTTTTCTAAAGTACTTTGCTTTAAAATGTCAAATAGATTTTCTCGTTGTCTTGTCAATTTCTAGGTGCTATAGTCATAAAGAAGTACTGCTCTTGCTTTTGAATTGAACATTTCTAGTCTTGGCTGCGTTTCGACGCTGCGTGATCTCCGTATTTTAAATAGTGTTTTGAACCTGAATTGCTTCTTTTTAATTCATATACCGATATCTTTACTTCAAGAAATGTAATATGCCTAAATCTGGATTTTTGCAGTATTTTTCCGGGAAGCAAAACATATTTCCCGGAAAAAATTTTCGTCAAAAAATTTGCATTCGTATTTAGCAGCCCAAAAAACATAAATTTGCAAAAAACAAAATCTTGCAACAATTGTCCAATTTTTAAGTCTATTTCCTGAACAACTTGTAATCTATTTGTAATTTAGAATTTACCTCCAGATTCTTTGCCTTTATTTTTATTATTTGAAAATTTAATGACAATAGCGCCATGCAATGTCATCAGCGTAATCAAGATCTTCAAGATGACTATTGAAATTCCATTTTATTCCTGTTTTGCATCCTTTCTAAGGTATATCATGTGGTCCAGTCAATGGCAATGTTTAATAGCAGTCCAGATAATACGCAATATTGCCTCACTCTTGTTTCAATGCAAAATTTTTTAGTAGTGTCCCCGCTTTCTAGAACCAGTACTTCCATCATATAAACTTTATAAACATCATATAGTATTAATTATCTTTTGATAAATATATATGTTCTAAATTAATGGACAATAAAGAAAAATGTGTTAGATAAAAATTCTGCGTCAAAAGCTTAATGCTGACGAAAGCTTTATAGAAGTCATTAAAATTCAGATATAAAGTGAGATTGTTTGCAGGCCCGGACTGGGAACTAAAATCGGCCCGGGCATTTTAGAGACATCGGCCCTCCACTCCACATAAACACCGCATGCGCAAGGCGTACGCGGCTCCTAATGTATCAATTTTAGGCATTTTTTACTTATAAATTCTCATGAACGTAAGTTAATTTATCGATGTAAGAAAGTAGATAAATATTGCTTAATAATCCTTTATAGAATATGTTTCAGTTTAAATTACATGGCTCTTATGAGAAAACATTGGTAGATAAAATCAAAAAGAAGGTGAAAGATGAAGAGCAAATAAAAATATTTATTATACTACACATACATGAATGATTTATATAAACATTTTTTTAAAAATAGATTTAATGCTTCTTTAAAAGTCATTAAATTAAAATTTAATTTAACTTTTGAAGAGGCTCACTATTTTCTGCCTCTTTATCGATTATGGCGTCGCTATCTAATTTCATTAATAGATCTTTTTCTATTGCCATTACCATGAGAGCATTCAAATTATCCAAAGATAAAGTACTCCTCATTCGATTTTTAATTACTTTTAATGTGGAGAATGATCTTTCACAAGCCACCTGACTTTTTGACAATCTTAGTAAAAATTTAAATGTTAGACTAATTAAATTGTAAGAATTGGTCAATAAATTGAATCTCTATAACATCTTGTAACAACAAATAACACAAATTTTGCACGCACTGCGTGCCTCACATTTTAGACTTACTTCTTCTTCTGTTTCCAAAGTAAAGTCGTTATTATCTTCGTTTAAATGATCTTTCGTGATTATTTTATAATCTTCTAATTCTGAATTTTTCCGTTTTTCCCAATGTAAAGCTAAATTTCTTAGTTCAATCCGCAAATTTTCACCTATAGCTGTTTCGTCAAATTTTAGCAAGAGTTTGCTTAACTCATTTAGTTCGCCAGATTAAAGCTTGTTAAAACGTTTTTCAGTGAAACGTTTCGGATCTAGATAGGAAAAATTGGCGTAAAACTTTCCATTTGCCGGAAATCGGCGTTCCATTGACGCTACAACTGTGCTGAAAATAATGTTATGGACGTTTATCTTAAATGCAGTGGTTTTATCATCAAAAACTGTTTCATTCGACGCTGTATCACTCGGCATCAATTTTCTTTTCCTCAATCTTTTTTATGGAAACTTTGCTTGAATTTCAGTTTCTTCAAGTTCCTTATTTGAGTGAATAATGAAATCATTTGTAACTTTTTGTACACCTTCAAAATCTCTCACTATTTTTTTCAGTTCTGAACACGTTTGTAATATCATTCCAAAAGCTTTTAAGATGTCTAAACCAGAGGTTTGCAAATACTGGGAAAGCGGTGTAGTTAATTCAAATATTCTTGAGAATATTTTGGCGGTGATTACTGTTTCATATTTGCAAAATGATTCTAAAAATATTTTTGCCTTTGCACGGATATCTGGCTTGAAATTTGAATTTTGTTGTATAGTTTCTAAACTTATAATCAATGTGACATATGACGGCTTAATAATTGAATCTGAGTTTGAAAATTAACCAAAAATTTTCTTTAATGCAGAATCTTTGGACCACCAACGCGTTTCTCCAATAGTTGCGAACCTTTTTCTATTTCCGTTCTCGTTACTTTGTTCCCAGATGTTCATGCGTTGGTATGATTCACGGAAAAATACTGCGATGCTATTTAGTAGGCAGAAAAATGATGCACTTTCAATTAGTGCCTTCGTGGTATCTCCTAAAACTAAATTTAAGACATGTGCATAACACCAAACATGAATTTGACCAGGGAACTCTTTGGAAAGCCATGAAGAAAATCCTTTATATTCACCTTGCATATTTGCAGCCCCGTCAGTTGAATTACCGATGCACTTTGTTATACCTATATTACAAGACTTTAAAACTGAATCCACTAAAGAAAACACATTCTGTCCGGTTGAAGATTTACACTCTACAACAGCGAGAAGTCTTTCATATACACGATATTTCATATAATTTTTAAATAGAAACCTATATCTTATTTAGCATCATTGGAGAGAGCTTTCGAAAGGAAATAACTTTTACTTAAAATATTTTTTAATATCTCCTACTATTTTCAAGATAATTGATAAGAAAAAATGCATATTAAATAGATTTTGACATATTCACTAAAAAAAAAATTATTCGTCATAATGTCTTTTACCTTCATTAAAACACATTTGCACTTTTCTTCCCATGTTTTATAAAAATTTAAGCGATTTTGATAATTTAAGTGAATTATTTTTGATAAAAATGATAAATTGAAGTAAATAATCAGAATTTTTTCTTATCTATTATCTTGAGAACAGTAAGAGATATTAAAAAACTTTCAAGTAAAAGTTACTTTTTTCCGAAAACCCTCTCCAATGATGCCAAATAAGATATAGGTTTCCATTTAAAAAATCAAAACTGTATTCAAATTCCGGTACTTCCGGCTACTTCCGGGAATTAATAATATCACTATTGAATTCCTTGGTATCGATTTAGTTATTCAGATTTTTTATTTCAAATCGATTATTTGCTCCATTCTCGAAAAAAATGGGTGGCACGCATGATCTGAATCACCCTGTATATTAAAGCAATATTATTACTACATATATCATATATATGTTATTTAATATTATTATTATTTGCGCAATATTATTTGAAATTCATGCAATGTGTAAAAAAAAAAAATTTGCGCTGCTGGCTCGGTCCAACCGGCCCTCAGGCCAGACCGGCCCACCGGGCAATTGCCCGGTCTGCCTACTGGCCAGTCCGGGCCTGATTGTTTGCTCAATGTTTCTTAGAATAAAAATTTGATTTGATTCTTTCACCTCGAAAACATGCTTGATCAATCCTAACTCTTTTTTCAATGCTTTTTTTTTATTCTATTCATAATAATTCGAAGTAAAATGTTTTGATAGAATAAGCAAACGACTAATTCCTTGCCAGTTATTGCAATTTGTTTGGCGATAAAATCTCCAAAAGCATTTACGAACGAAAAAATGAATTTTGTATTTCATTTTAAGATTTTTCTAAAACTTTTTTTCAGATACTGATTAAAGACTTTTCAATGTTCACTAATCGCCCGAGATTGTACATGAACATTCAACCTTTTGACGCATCTCTGATTGGATTGTGTGATATGCGGTGGAAAGAAGTTCGATCCATTCTCTCTCCTGTATTCAGCACCAGCAAACTGAAACTAATGAAAAGTATTTTTGAAAAGAAAGTGAGTAAATTGACTAAACCCATACTATCAATTAGCAAATGTTTAGAATTAATAAGGAAATTAAATACCGGAAGCAAATACATACGTTGCATATTTCGGATTGACATAGTGCGTAGCGTTTTTAAAAAGTGCTTAAAGATGCTTATTTTTGACTTTCGTTTCTTAAAAAGCCATTGAAGGTGCTTTTTCATTGGTTGTTTTTAAAAAGTGCTTAATTTTTTTCGAAAAGGAGATTTTTTTTACCATTTCTATTTTTGCCATGTGTTATGCAAAAGCGTGCTTTTCACATTGTTCTATTCAACGTTTTCACAATACATTTCAGCGTACCGTCACGTGGTAGCGTATGAAAGCGCTAATTATTTTACGGTTTCGATGAAATATTTGCGAGTCTGCATGTGCGTATAGTGAGCTGGGTTGGTTGAGATTCTTGCTCTTTCATGTGCAACTCTGTTGCATTTGTGCACGATGTTCTCAATTTCAAGCTTCATTTTCCACCCCCTGATATCAAACCGAAAAATCTCTCGATCATTTTATAACTGCTTATATGATCAAGAAAAGAGTTTTTTTTAATTTTTTATCAGAAACTTGTTGTTTTCTCATGATCTCGTAAAGTCTTTGAAAATTATTTTGCATTTTGTTAATGTATATAGTGCTTAAAAATATTTATTGAGTGCTTAAAAAGTACTTAAAAGGTACTTGTTTTTTGTTGAAAGATTTGGCTACGCGCTCTGATTGAATAGCACAATGATTTACTCTCATATGAAAAAAGAATATAAATTTATGATGTTCTATTATTATTTTTAAAGCAGAATGTTCAAAGAAATAACCGAACCACCCAGAATAACTTTTGATCTCATGATTGGATCTTCACGTTTTAGGACTCAATCTGATTGGTTCGAGGGGATGATTTCTGATATGCTAATTAATTAATGCAGAAGATATTTTTAAGTTACGAAATGAAGCACAAAAACATACTTTCTCAGAATAAACTTACCATTTTTACCGTTATCCTATAATTAGGATCTCTGACCCCCAAAATATAGGGAGCATCTGGAATTTGGGAAATATGGTCCCCATAGTTTGGTTTAAAATTCGATTTCGCAGAAACTAGTCGACGGATTTCGCTTATTTTTATTTATTTATTTTTTGCCTTGTAAAATTACATTATTCAAAATTATGTAAAAAAAGTTGTATACCTTACAATTAAATTTTTTTGACTATTATTAAATAAAATTCGAAAAAATAATAAATATTTACTAAAAGTTTTTTTTTTCATAGAATTATCTTTGGATAAACGAATTTTATTATTGTGCGCAAAATTTTCAATTCGCTTAAAAAGTTCTCGAGATATGGCGAAGTACCAAAAAGCAAAATTAACATTGAGGAGTGCAAACTTTGGATCGCTCTCCACTGACCAAACTATGTGGACCATATTTTCCAAAAAGCGTTTAACTCCTATGGGGGAAAAATCCGAATCCATCGAAAAAACGGTATGTTTATACATAAAAAGTAAGTTTTCGTGTTTAGTTTCGTAACTTAAAAGAGTGAAATATTTTTTTTTCAATGGCAGGCACTGAATTTGAATCTTTGCCTAGACTATGCCAGAATTGTTGCTCATTTCGCGTTACCCAGTGGGCACCTGTGAACCAAAGTCACGGAGGCGAGCAACATTGCCCACGCCACACTGCCACAAACCCGTTTATAGGGTGGGCCACATTCACACATCATACACACACACAACAGAGGACAGTACAAAGAGAGAGAGAAACATCCATGCCCAGAGCGGGATTCGAACCCGCAGCCTATGGCTTCGCAGTCAGGCACGCTAACCGCTCGGCCACCTGGCCGGC